TTTTTTTTTTTTTTAGAAATTATGTAGCTTTGGACAAACTGGGTCAGTTTAGAGTCAGAAGTGGATCTTATTCAAGCTATGTCTCCTACAGAAGAGAAAACTGAGGCCCAAAGAGGTGAAATGATTAGCCTAAAGTTACCCACCTGGAAGAATGTCATTGCCAGGGTCAGACCTCAGTGTTCTGACTCCCAACATAGTGCTTTCCACTAGAGGTACTGTTGAATAGTAACCTGTTTAAAGGATGTAAGTCACAGCCCCAGGCAGAAGTGGAATCCACGCTGAGTGTCTGAGAGTAGGGGCTGTATGCTCATAAATACTTCAGACGTGGTGAGAAAGTAGGGGAGGTCTTCCTCATTTCTTTGTTATATACATTTTCTACACATCACCAGGGAGAATTTTATCTGTGTCTAGAGAGCAGCCTGGATATGACTGTTCTGAGCTCTCCTGCTCCATTTTACAATCCAATGATAAAAGATATCAATATTATGATGTTATAGCCTACGTTGATGAAATAGCTACCTCTGGGTCCCCCTCTGAAGTGAAAAGGCTTCTAGCTTTTCAGGCAATACCCTATTCTACACTGTTCTAAACCACAAGGGGGGCAGCCCTGGGAAAGAGAATTATCTCAAGGGAAAGTATGAAATTAGGTGTGAGAATTCTCCCCAGATTCTGGTTTCTTTTTTAGAGATGTTCCAGGTCTGGAGAAATACAGAAAACTAAAGAGTAACAGAACTGTCCCTGTCGTCAACATGAAGTATATTGTAGGCGAAACTGGCTGTTGCCGGGTAGGAATCTCCACGAGCGTTCCTGTTGGAGTCTGTAAAATGGGCCCTGGATTTAGAAGGGGTATGTGTAGTAAACAATCAGATTTACCCAACAAGAGGTCTGGCCTTTGCCCTTGGATACTGAGAGGTCATCTCTAGGCCCCTGCTTGATAAGTGTCTTTGCTTCGCGTCTTTGGTTACCAGACAGCCTAACAACGTATTTTTGATGGGGGCCTTGGGTCACACAGTATCCGTTCCAAACTGTAGAGGAACCGGAGACTAAAGGCATTAGTGTGACCTCTGGGACGGGCTGAAGATAAAAGGTCAGAACACGGGCAGTGTGTAATTGAGTCCCAGGAAAAACTCTGGACATCAGAGTCCTAGGTGAGCTTCCCTAGTTGTCAGTACTCCCATATACTGTCACACATCACAGCTTGTAGGAGGTAAAGCTGTGCATGACTCCAAGGGGGTAGGATGACTCTGCCCTACGTATGTCTTTCCTTGGCTGACTTTAATTTGTATCCTTTTGGTGTTACAATACTGTAATGGTAAGGATAGCACTTTTCTGAATTCTGTTGCTTTAGCAAATTAGCCAGTATGAAGGTGGTCAGGGCCCCCAAATTTGTCGATAGCCGGCCTTCCGTGATGTTGATTCTGGGGACTTCTGAACTTAGGCCCATGTAGAAGAGGGAGCACTTTTGTGGGGACTGGTCCCTCAGACTTTGTAGTTTGGCTAAAGTCACCTAGGATGCTGGTGACAGAGGATGATAAAAGGTGAGGTAAAAAGATTTGGGTATTATTCGTAACGGGTATCTCTATGAAGGTGGCGAGTTTAGGGGTTTGTGTTTTGGAAAAGGTGAATTTAAAGAACTCTCTCCTAGGTGGGAGGTAAGAGACCAATATCCTGGCAGGAAAATCCATTGCAGATCTGAGTATGAGTCAGAATGGAATGAAGTTAGGCAAATGACTTCAAGCCTTAGACAAATGGAGCTAAATATAAGTTCAAAGTGATGATTTATGTAGAGATGTTTTTAAAGCTACCATATGTAAATGTGAAAAAACAAAATGCTTTTACCATTTGGGAAAAATCTGAGTGTAATTGTTACAAACTGAGTTATCCTGGAGAAGTTAAGATTTTCTTGATATTTCCCCCCACTCAGGTTAGAAAAAGTTATTTCCTGGAGTTTTTAAAATTTGTCACATTTCTATTCAAGACTTAAACTTGATGGGCAATCCAAGTTATCTTTACTGTATTTTCCTGTGTGTGTTCCCAAGCTTTTATTTAATTCATTTATTTATTTGAGATATAATTGAAATATAACGTTTTATTTCAGACATACGACATACTGATTCGATATTTATATTTACTGCAAAATGTCAGAGTAAGTTAACATCCATAACCACACATAGTTACAATTTTTTCTTATAATGAGAACTTTTAACATGTATTCTCTTAGCAACTTTCAAATATAACAGTACAGTATTAACTATAGTCACCTTGCTATACATTACATCCCCAGGACCTAACTTATTTTCAAGATCCTTTTAGATACACAAAATTTAGGTGCGTAAGAAAAGTAGTTAACATATTTCAACTTCTCCCCAAATTTCTTACCATCTCCCCAAAGTGCCTGATTTGTATTCTCCCTCCCCCATATCATGGATTCAGATTTTTCAGAATATAACATTTTAAAATGGTGCCTCGGTGTAAGATTGACTTTTCGGAAGTAAAGGTTCTGGGGGTGAGGTGTACGGTCTCGAGAGTTTTACCAGAGGCAGAACGGACGGTCGAGCTTCTGAAGCGCAACCTGCAGGGTACGGCACGGGAGGCGTGTTAGGCTCTCGGCAGAGGTCCGGGTTGGCATATTTGGGAGTTCTCGGAAGGGGCAGTGCCTCTCGCATGCCGGAGGCAGTCTAGGGGCGGCGCTCCAAAAGGCTGGGCGCGAGTGGATCTGCGCTGCTGCGCCTCGCTCGTACGTATCTTAGCTGGGCAGGGTCAGGAAAGGCCCGTTTCCCACCTGGATTAGGATCGATCCGATGGGGTCGTAGTTTTCAGTCTCTTGTGCCATGGCTAGGGCCGGGGAGCGGTACCTCCCGGAGAAGGCACGGTCTCCAGGCGCCCAAGCCAGGTGCTGCTAGTGCTCGTCCCCATGGCAACCCCAAGCGCAGCCCGGCCTGTTCTACGCCGGGAGCGGAAGAGGGGTGTGGGAGGAGTCAGGGTAGCGGGTTCCTGCCGAGAACGCGCCCTTCCTTGCGTGTCTCCCCCGCGCACCGGTAGCCGTGGTGCAGCCCAAGGCGGAAGCGGCTCCGGGACGGAACTGACTTGCTAGTGCAGCTATGGCTGCGGGCGTCCCCTGTGCGCTTGTCACTAGCTGCTCTTCCACCTTCACCGGAGACCGGCTGGTCCAACGTGAGTAGCGAGGCTCCCGGGCCGACCTTCAAGTTCTCCGAGCCTCGGCGGGCGGCAGCCTCGGAATCGCGGTCTTCCTCTGTGCCTTTGTCGCCGCCGCGGGCCCCGAGCTCTTCCTCCACTCGGCGGTGGCCAGAGGCTCCACGGGTGCAGCTCAGACCCGGTCCGGGTGCCCAGGCCCCGCAGGTGTCTTCCCTTGGCTCTCACACTCATTGCTTTTCTGCCCGCCCGGCGCGCTATTGCATTTCTTCCAGCTTTTTCAGCAAAGTGGGACTCATCCCTGCCCCGCCCAGTCCACGGATTGTTGCGGGGACCTTTGAGATGAACCGCAAGGCGCTCTGGAAATTGTACCCACTCACGCGGGTGTAAGGTGCAGGAATTGGGATGTCTGTTGCTATCCCTGCTCCTGAGGTAGAGAGTAGGTTTCCTTTTGGCTCCTCCTTGTTGTATGTGAGTTCGCCTTGTCTCCTCCACTCTAGTTATTTACTGTAGGTTGTTATCCAACATTGGCTTTGGGGTGTTACTGGCCTAGTTTCTTTGCCTCTGGAGCTTCACAGTGGCTGTCAAACTGAACGACTTAAACCTTAGGCGAGACCAGTGTAGTAGAAAGAGCATGGGACTGGGTCATAGGCTCAGCATTTTGAGTAAATGATTCTGTGAAGTTGATTGTAACCAAGACTCCTATTTTAAATGAGTGGATCTCAGCTGTGTGATAGCTTAACCTTAACACTTAACCTTCACCCTTCAGTTTTCGAATCTGTAAAATGGTGATGATTTTCGCAGAATTGTGCTTACCCCAGAGGTTGGCATTTGGTAAGCGTTAGATAATGGCAGTCATTATTATCAAAGCACATTATCTTGGGAACCCTCAGTTTCCTGGGCCTACAAATGGTGCATATGAGCCTATCTCACAGGATTATTTGAAGGACAGGTGCCATTTTGAAAGCACTGTGTCAATTGTGAAGCATCACACAATTGTATATATATTTTTTCTGTACCTGTCAAATGACAGAATTAGGCAGGATGCCCCTCCAACAACAAATATTCTATAACTTAGTTGCCGTTTGTGACCACTTAAAAAGTTCTTTGCCAGGGTAAAAGTTTAATTATAACACTTATTGTTATACTCTATGCCGTTTCCTTACCCCTTAACAGTGCTCCTTCCATTTATTCCCTTTCTTTTCTTTTTTAAAAATTGTTTCATTGTAAAAAAAATAGTGCATACTTCTTTTTCTTTAGTGCATACTCATTAAGTAAGATTTAACATATGGAGAAAAGAGAATGTCATCCATGGTCTCATCAGCCAGACACAAGTACTGTTAACATTTCTGTGCATTTCCTTCCAGTCTTTTTTCCAATACTTACGTTTAAAAAGAAAAATGGTAATTATATTTCACATATAATTTTATTCCTGATATTTATAATTCCTGATACAATTCCTGACATTTTATATATAATTTTTATGTTTTATACATAATTTACATTTTCATATTTTGTATATAAAAATTTAAATATATGTAAATTAAATGTTCAAAATATTTAAATAAAATTAAATTTATGCACATATAATTAACATGTGCAATATATAAAATGTATATAATTTATGTTTATATTTTACATATAATATTTTTAATATAAATTTTATCCTGATATTTTTCTTTTTTAATTTTTAAAAATTTATATCCAAATTAGCATATAGTGCA